AGGGGAGACCTCATCGCGCTCTACAACCACCTGAAAGGAGGTTGTAGCGAGGTGGGGCTTGGTCTCTTCTCGCAAGTAGCAAGTGATAGGACAAGAGGAAATGGCCTCAAGTTGCACCAGGGGAGGTTTAGATTGGATATTAGGAAAAATTTCTTCACCAAAAGGGTTGTCAAACACTGGAACAGGCTGCCCAGGGAAGTGGTTGAGTTCACCGTCCCTGGAAGTATTTAAAAGACGTGTAGATGTGGCGCTTAGGGACATGGTTTAGTGGTGGACTTGGCAGTGTTAGGTTAATAGTTGGACTTGATGATCTTAAAGGTCTTTTCCAGCCTAAATGATTCTATGATTGTATAGGAAAACCTGTGATTGCGTATTGCCCACTGTCACTGGTGCTACTTAAATTCCACGTGGGGAACTTAATTATTTTATAATATGAAAAGGAAATACTTTCTGGGTGAGGGCATGCACATTTACCCTCCAGAAGTACACGAAGAAACATTTTCAACTTAATAGCAAAAATCTTCAATTGTGAATTACCTTAGTTTTTGTTGTGAATATAATTCTCTCTCTGGGATTTTGTCCTAAATATTCTTTGTATTCTGTGTTGGTGTATTTTTGACCATGTGAGTTGCATTTTCTTATGCATTCTGTTTTGCCTTGTTTCAGCCCCTGCCAGTTTCCTGTTGTTTAGCCAGAAATCTGCAATCAGCCGGATGATACCAGATGATCAGCAAAGTCCAGATATCATCCTGCCTATGCATGGTCTAAGGAATGTCAAGGCTATTGATTATGATCCCTTAGATAAATTGATCTACTGGGTGGATGGACGTCAGAATATTATAAAAAGAGCCAAAGATGATGGCACTCAGGCAAGTTTACATGGTGTATATAGTTTTGTGTTGGTCTTTTTGTGTGCTTTGTAGTTTATGCTTGACTTTCCCCTTCCATCCCCTGCACCAAGGAATCTTCGATTTAAACTTTACTTTTGCCAGCACTTATTTATGTATATTCTATTTATATGTGAAAATTACTGAAGGCTTTTAGGATTGTGATTTTAATTTGTACACAAAAAAGTGGGGTAGAATATAGTACATCATATGTATCTGAAACTATAAGCCTTGAATTGCAATCTTTAGTTAAGGATGGGCACTGAAGTAAGGCAGACTCACTATTTATACTCAGGACAGATAAATTGTATTCTAAAATCGATATTGTGCATGCCAATTGTGTGATAATATTGTTGTCATTGTAAAGCTCTCTCAAAATGAAAACTCTCAGCTATCCAAGCTGTAGTTAAACCCTGAGTGAATGTCGAGTTGATTGCTGTGCTAGATAGGGATAGGCTTATCCACATGCTTAATGGTTTTACTGAGTTGGGGACATTATTCTTTTGCGCTAGTTATTCACACAACAGTGGAAAGAAGTGTACTGTTGTTCCAGGCAGTGTTATGTATTAACATAGCTTAACTCCCAGGTCAAGATAACAGATTCTTTAAAAATTATGGTTTGAATAAGAATATAAAATGAAATGGAGAATGGGCAAGTTATATTTTCCTAGTTCTTGGGCAGCCGTATCTAAACAATATGACATGATATCAGTGGAAATGGACTGGTCTCTTCATGCATCTAGAGACTCAGAGGTTTTATGGTTTCCTTTAAAGGAAGAGATGACAATTTTATTTTTTGGCCGTTTCTTTCAAGATTGGGAGGAGGTATGTTGGGATGAGCAGCTAGCTGGGTTGTGGATGAATTTTGAAGAAGTTTTGCTCTTGCTTTTTGGGATTATGCTAGGTGCTAATTGTTGTAGTCTAGCTTCTCTTTGGTACTTGCTAGGTGCAAATTGCAATGGAGATTCATTTGCTCTGTATTTTCCTCTACCTTGGTCACACAGCTTTGAAGATGCAGATCCCCTGCAAATTTTGACTTTCCAATTTTCACTAACTATATTTACTTAATTTTGCTAAATCTTGCTGTTTGCAGATGATGCATATGAATTTCATACCTGGGAAATGTTACCTTTGATTTCAGCAAAAGAATTACTTCTTTTTATTTCTAGGCACACTGTCAAGACAAAATAGGGATAAAGCTTTATGTAAAAAGAAAAAAGCCTTTATATCACTATACAGAACTTGGAAGCTTGAAACCAAATTGTGGAAATATAACTTTCACAAGTAATGCTGCGTTGGGTAATTCATTTGATTTAAGCTGAGCACGGAATGGTGTGTTCAGCTTTCTTGACCAATATGAACTTTTTCTGGTACTGTTTTTGTGTTTGGATTGGGAGCACCACATTAGGACACTTAAGGAAGCCACTGCTTTCCCCGCACCATTATCATGTCACCGGAAGCAGTCACCTTTGAAGGCTGCTTTGATGTTGGGAGTCCTGCCAGCAGTATTACTATCCCAATGGCACTGGGATTGGCTGTACACTAGTGGAGCCTGTGTAATGTTAAATGAAGAACAGAAAGATAATTTTCCTTTAAGGATTTTTTTTATATGCTCTAGTGCTCTTCACAGAAAGTATTGAAGTCTATGTTAGTATTCAATATAGAGTTAAAAAGTATAGTAAATAGTATGTTAGTTAGATTGGGAGGGGTTGAGGGTTATGATTCCAGGAACTTGGCAATAATGTCAAGTTTTGTAAGGTACATCATAAAGACATGAGGGTGAAAGCAAGGTAATGTTGTTAGTATGGGTGTGACACAGAGCTGTACCATTTGACATGTAAGCAGAGAGAACCAAGTTTCATTAAAAGATTTTAGTTGTTAAGAGAAGCCAGGACTTAAAGATCATCAATACCTACTACACTACAAAGAATAAAATAAGGAGAGTTTGGCAAGAGAAAGAGATCTGTTATGCTGACTGTATAACAGTGCAGGTCTGGCCAGAAAGCTGCCTTGTTTCTTGCATTGCTTCATTCAAGATTGTTCCATGCATAAACATTCACTATTGTTTTCTTCCATCTCCCGCTAATTAATTCTACTTATAGGAGGCCCCACAACTGCTTTCTGGGGAGTTTTGCATAATCTTATAGATTTTGTCCAGATGTTTTTCCTCTAATCCAAATCTTTTTTTGTTAAGCTTTACTGCATTTCTTGTATTTGTTGTTTCCTTGTGGGTGATTTTAGGTGTTTCTGGACCATCAGGTCGTAAACCACACTTTCTGTGCAATCAGTGTTCTTCAATCAATAATCAGAATAATTACTTGAAATTGTTCCCCATATGTTGTCTTGCAGCCTTTCACTGTCATGAGTACTCCAAACCAAAGCCAGAACCCAGAGAAGCAGCCACATGACCTCAGCATCGATATATTCAGCCATACCTTGTACTGGACCTGTGAGGCCACAAATTCAGTCAACGTCCACAGGCTGAACGGCGACTCAATTGGGATGGTGCTGCGAGGGGATCATGACAAGCCCAGAGCCATTGTAGTGAACGCAGAGCGAGGGTGAGATTTCTTTCTGTACCTTGTACAGAGCTCTCTTGGGATTATGTCAGCTGTGTGTGTGAATGTTGTGTTGCGTCTGTATATTTTAAAAAGGAGAATTTTTGCATATTTAATTGTTCGGTATAGGTGACTGCTTGTCCAATTCTGGCTTTTAAAGGTATCCAGCTTTCTCCTCCTGTTCTCTCCTTTGCTGCCTCCTCTAAGTGTGCCGACTTAGACGTTCACACAGCCATGTGGTTAGTTATAGTGAGGAACTAACCCAGGTGAGGAAAGCAAAGCAAAACCACCTTACCCTGTTCGCTGTGTGAGTGCACAGCCCTGCCACCTAATAGGAAAACCAGGAGAGTTTACACTGTGTTTATATCAACTGGGAATCTGGCTTATAAATGTTTGATCATCATAAAACAAATGTTTCCAGGAAAAAAAAAGGGATCTCTCATATGATACAATTATTCCTGCTAATGTAATAGTATGAAGTTAAACAAACAAACAAACAAACCCCTTATGTTCTATACATTTTTAAGTTAGTTCTGCCTTGATGTGTATCTCAAAAACTTCTGAAATTAATTGATTAAAACAGATAGGATGGACTAGAGTGATTTCCCACGGGAAGAAAATATATTGTTTTGCTTCAAAGCAGTTTTGGTTAGATTCAGCAGACCCCATCTCCACTTCAGGTGGTTAGTACCTTCATTCTTAGAGGTCAAAGATGGTCCCTTACTGTTCTCTTTAATAAGTTAGATGCTTAAATCCCAATTTACTACTAAATGGCTTACCATGTGCTTGACAGATGTTGAATGGCAACATTTCGTAACTCTGTGGATACGGTACTACCCAGAGACTCTATCTGGAGCATTTATAGGATTGGTATTTTATACAATGCTCAGTGTACTCTGCACAGTTCAAAAGCTAGTGTGGGGAGAGGGGGATTAGAGGAAAGATTCTAATCTTGTTGGGACTAAGTCACTTGGACATAGTTCGTATTTGTAAAAGCTTATCTGCTTTCTCCATTAAAATGGGAGTTTGGGTTTGTTGATCTCTAAAACTCTCAACTTTTCTAGTCATGTTTTCAAATGATTTAAAGATAAATCTGTTTTTAAATTAAAGGAGGAAAAGATGGGGGAGAGACTATGCTGAACACTGTGACTACCTGGAAGAGCTGAATGAGTGATCTGTGTACTGAACTTCTTCTGCCTTAGTTCCAGAAATCCTTCTCTCCACCTCTCCCTTGGCTGCACATTCTGACTGCTGACTCTCCTTCTTGTACCATCACGAAAAGCTACGCAGCAATGTAGCCCATTGTATTAGGGAGTTGGCCCATGTTATCCACCACGGAAAAAATGGTGGGCTTTTCCCTGAGGGAGTTCTCAGTTCATCATGTGGGTGCACAAGCCCTTTTTTCCCTATGCAGGGGGAGGGCAGAGACTGCTTCTGTTTGCAGGTGAATGGCTTAGGCAGATACAAAGAATTCATGGAACTAAGACATCAGGAACATGGCATCTTCAGTTGTTCTTCCTTCTGATATTTGCTCCTCTCAAGTTTGGTAGGAACTTTCCCTTGCTGAGAAGGAAGGCAACCCAGAAAGAGAGGAGGTGACGGTTAAAGTTTTTTGGCAGAAAGAGCTGCTGGGCTTTGATTCACAGATGGGGACAGCTTTACCCAAGGATGGCTGCAGAAAGTCTGTGCTAGTCTCTTACAATCCCCACCTCCCCTGCAGGAAGAGTGCTGCCAGCACAGCAGTGCTGAGTGCTGAGGCATTTTATGGCCTGCTGTGTTAAGGACAAATGCTATTATTAATTTCAGGCTATTTCAATACGTTAGCAAACGTTTGGGGTTCTGCAGCTGACAGATCTGGATCTTTGCAGCTGGGAGCAACAGTCACCGCAGTCATCCCTGTGTAAACCATTCCCACTTACAACGTAGAACCTGAGTGCAAAGGTGAGTTGCCTCCCTTCTGAAGCTCTCGGTTAAGCGGCTGGTGTCTGTGTTCTCAGGTACATGTACTTCACCAACATGCAAGAGCGAGCTCCCAAGATTGAGCGTGCAGCCCTTGATGGAACAGAGAGAGAAGTGCTTTTTACAACTGGGTTGATCCGACCAGTAGCACTGGTGATTGACAACAAACTTGGAAAGCTTTTCTGGGTGGATGCAGATCTGAAGCGCATTGAAAGCTGTGACTTGTCAGGTATGTGGTATGCAGTTGAACATTTGGAGCAGAGCGTGTGTATATATAGGACATCATTCCCTCATTGATGCTGACCCCAGTAACTTCTGTCTCCACTGTTGCCAGTTCTGTGTAGGCAGTCACAGACAGTAATTGCTGGTGGGCTCCCATCTTTGATGTGATTGGAATAAACATGTCTGTAATGATTGCCACCCTCCAAGAGAGCCATTTGACTTTTTATAGGTTCTGAAAGCAACTCTTGCAAGATCAGATTTAAATAGATGTTGCCAGTCATGGAACCCCTAAATCACCTCCCTCGTGCCCTTTTTTTTCCTTATGGTTTGAAAAGTTTGCATAACTCTTCAATTTTTCTTTCTCTGGAGTTTACAGTTTAGTAAATCAAGGTAGCTTGAAAAACAAACAGAAGGAAGGGGAATGGCTTTCTTCTAAGACGGATGATAAGGCAGCTCATCTGGAATACCAGTATTGCAAAACAGTGGAGAGATGTCAACTCATTGCAGTTTTCCCATATTAGTGAAATAAAGCATTACTCCACGTCCATAGCAATAGTACCACATGGACCTTAGAGAGAGCTGTTTATCACTGACTTTTAAAAGTACTTGATAGTGCTGAAGAAGTGGAGGAATGGGGTTGCTCATCTGGTGAGCAGCATAGTACAGAGGATCCAATGGCCCTGCTTTCTGACTCGTGATTCGTTCTCTCATCATCATCCGTGTGTCAAGAAATGAAACTCCTAAAGGAAGTGCAGAGAGAAGTGAACTAGTGTGAGGGAGTAGAAGCTGGGCTGTTCTAGTGATTGGCATCTGCCACAAAAGGCTGATTCTCCAATTTTTGGTGGCTCTTCACTTCTTGCCATGTAGTAACATCCTTCCCTTGTGTTGTAGAGAGGCAATGAACTAGAACAGGAGAAAATTGTTCACTTTTTTACAAGGACAGTTCACTTTTGAGCACCTAAAACTGCCTCAAGGTCAGACTCGGGTCTCTTCTGTCAGAGAGGGGATAAAAACATGAAGCTGGAGCTGGGAAGGTAAAGCAGTCCATGTCTTTCATCAGTTATCAAGCTGGATAGGGGGGTATTGTGAAACTGCCTGTGTAGCCACAAAAAGTCCAATCCAGGATAGGCGTCAGAGAACCTACAAAAATTTGTAGGAGAAAAGAAGATAGGAGGGAAACAAGACTTGACCTGTGAAACAGCCCATGTTTGAGAAGAAAAGGTTGACAGAGTGGGACACATAACACAAAATGCATCAGAGAGACTGAGAGGGTTTTGTCTAGTGATGAAAGGAGAAGTGCCATAAGAGGAAATCCAAAAGTAAAACGACAAGACGGAAAAGCAGCGTATCATGCAGGTATTGTGGCTGAAGTGGCATTGACAAACACAAGAGAGGATTATGTGGAAATCATATGGTTTGGGAGAAGTTAATGAATTGAGAAGGGAGGGCAGGATCAATAACTAGTGCTGCTACTGATAAAAATGTGGCCCCCATGTATTAGGAAGCCATATTACTTAATGAAGCTGTAGCATACAGTGGACCTAGCTATGCCTACATCTTCTGCTTGTATGTATATAAGCATCCTTTTTTCCCCTTTGATTTAGCACGTATACAAGGTTGAGTCGCAACTAGCAGATGGGGGCGGGCAGGGTGCAGGTGCTTCTTCCCTGTCATGTTGCAGGTTGGAAGATGGACTGTGACCTTGCATAGTACAGCGTAAAATGCAGAGGAGTCTGTTTATTATTGTTTTAGATCTAAGTCTTGAATGAATAAGACCTGACAATAGGACTTGGGTAAACTGATATATGAATAAATCATCAGCTAGACCATCACATGCTGGTAGTTGTATCCTGTGATTGCAGCTTCCTTTGTACGTGTTCTTCCTTTTTGTGACATTAAAACTCCATGGAAGCATATGTTTGCATACTGGATGTATATTTTAATCCAATTCTTTAGATCTTTTTACAGGGAAAACTAAACTTTCTCTTGTTAATATTGAACCAAAGCTTTTAGCGCACATTTATTTGATGGGGTCACAGCTAAAGAATCAAACCCTATTGGTAAGATAAAAGCAGGGGAAAGCTACAGGATTAAAAGAAAAGAATGTTTATTAACTAGAGGATATGTATCATGTAGCTAGAAAACTATGGTTGTATTTGATCCAGCTGAGCTCACTGTAATTTGATTCACTGAGCTGTTGATGTTTTAAATAAGTTAACAGCGTATTTTTATTATAAAATATTTTGCAGTCTTGCATCACAACTTCAGAAGAAATTTGACAGCCAAAGTTATGTTGGCTTGAATTAGTTCCTCTAAAAAGTATTTTCTGAACAAAATGCTTTAAAATGGGCATATATTAGCAAAAGGATTTTAGTGTGAACTAAGGATGCCGAATAAATTGGACCGAAATTGTGTATAGCATCCTTCATGCCAGTTAGACTGGTCTAGACAGCCTTATTCCCTCGTAGGCTTGGGGAAATGATGCGGTTATGGAGGATTCTGAAGCTTGCACTACACCTTTATTAACAGCATCCTGCTAAATCATGGAATAACCTCAGATGTCCAATGCTTAACTTTCAGAGAGGGATGAAAGGACTATAAACCTGTCTAACGGTTTTCTTTACAAGGTTCTTGAATTTTTCAGTTGGAGTTGTTGATGCTTTTTAGACATTCATAAACCATTTGCAAATAACTTGTCTGCCACACCAGTCAATTAAAAACTAGTGTTTTGTATTATTGTTGAAGTGACTGGAAAAGCTATAAAATTGCTGTGGTGAAAACATGCTTTGTTTTCAATTAGACTTTAAATAGAGGAATTGTGTGTCCTTCCAGCTTAATGTTCTTTACATTTAACTATTGATTTTCATCTTGAAAAGACTACACATCTGTTTCTTTCTGGGAATCAAAGTATTTAATTACTGTGGAAATTCAACACTTCTTTACTTGTAACGTGTTTTCTTTTTTCTAACCATATCTGTTGAAAATACCCTTTTATTTGTTCAGATAGAGTTTTTCATTTTCATCATTCTTCTAAACAACAATTTAATGGTGTCATCCAGTGCTATAGGTGCCCTTTGCCTCTCCTTTTAAAATTATTCATTAATAATCTGGACTGTCATTTACTCAAGATCGAATCCAACGTAATTATAGTATAGATTAATCACCTTATCCAGTGCTATCTCTAGCAGCTTCCCAAATCACCAATGTTCAGCTTTTTGCAGATGAGGAAGAAAAAAGATGGTGCTTTGTGCACCCCCCGAAAAACCATTAAATGTAGCCTGTCTTAGGCCTGGGTTTGGGAGGCTGTTCAAACAGGCTAGGATTCTAGCAGGACTGCTAGCTTGCAAGTGTCACCTGACACTTCATGTGTTCATGGTTTCAGGATGCCTTCAGGATATCCTTCAGGAAACCAGCTTGCCTTTTATTTCTAAATGGATGAGTAATTTAGCACTTAAAAAATCATGAAGGCAGGAGGAGTTTTCTTTATATTGAGTTGAAATGAGGCTTTCCTATTCTTGTGGTATCTCAAATGCAGCTGAAAATTGTGCATTTGGGTCAAAATGTGAGGCTTAGTCTGGCAAAAGGACAGTCATCTTTGAAAATCCAATGACACTGAAGTTCATAGGAGCTAAGGGTACTCAGCAGGTTGCAGGGCAGATGAACAAAGTGCCCGGAGCTTTGTTCACTGAGAACCTTCTTCTGTCAAAATGTTTCCTAGTATTTCTAAATTTTAAGACCTGTTTAGGAGAAGACAACATCTCAGGAAATACACTGCTAGAGAGTAGTACTAAGGGTCAGGTTTAGTGCCCATTTAGTGAAATTAGTGCAGGTGCATCTATTCTGTTCTGGTTTGGTTTGGTTTTGCTTGGTTGGGTTTTTTTTTTTTTAAGAAATGAGTTAAAAGTTGACTGGTGTAAAACTAGTCTTCGTTTTTGTTGATCTCAGGTGCTAACCGCGTGACCCTGGAAGACTCCAACATCCTGCAGCCGATGGGACTCACTGTGCTGGGGAATCACTTGTATTGGATTGATCGTCAGCAGCAGATGATTGAGAGAGTGGAGAAAATGAACGGGTACAAAAGGACTAGAATTCAAGGCCGAATTGCTCACCTAACAGGCATTCATGCTGTGGAAGAGCTTGATATGGAGGAATTCTGTGAGTTTACTTCAATATCTGAAGTCTCCCACTCTTGATCACTGTCTCAAAGTCCTCATCCAGCTGAATATTGTAATAATGTTGCCCAGTGGGCTTCAAGTAAGCCATGGAGTGCTTTCAACTTCGTCAGTCGGGATCCTAGAAGAGGAGGAGAAACAAATTCCTCGTTCTTGTCCAGAGGAGTATTCCTGCACAGCTAGAATATGTGATTTCATAGCAGGCACTTGGTTACCTGCTTTGTACAAGCTCACATGATACTGAATTAACTCTAAAAGCTACTTATAATTATGGTTGTTAATTTTTAAAGTCCAACCAAGTAATAACACTTGGAAAAACCTTTAAAAAGAAAGAAAAGGATTGTACTTGCCTTTTCTCCAGGGGTTTTCAGACCCCTGACTGGTTTGACTCAGCACAATCGACGATGTAAAAGCCTCCAGTGAGGGAGGGAGAATGGGCAGGAAGCTCCTACAATGAATTACTGTGGATGTGGTACTTCTCTCTCGTCAGAGGTGGAGCCATTTTAGGTGCTCCCTTCTGAAAGGGGTCACGCATGCAGGACCTTCTTTTTCTGGACTGGTGGTCCAAGTTCCTGTGGTCTGAGGGAGAGTGCAGAAACCTCGTAAAGCAGTCACTCCCCAAAGTGACAGCTCCTCCTGCTTAACAGGAATATAAAAGAGAATATAAAAGCACAAACAAGATGTGGGAAACAGAGGGCTAAAGACAGTGGCCTCTTTGTTGCCTGTGATGAGTTGTCTTATATGGGGGGGTACATTTGTGTATAATGCTTTAATTTTCAGAAGAAATTACTCCACTTCGCAACCCTCTGTGCCACGTACGTTAGTTTCTGTGGTAGCTGAAAGTATTTTCAAACTTGCGTATGTGGGTAAGCTGTTACAAATAAGGTAACGTAAGTATTTAAACTGTAGTAGATTCTATGTGCTAATCCTCATCCAGATGTTCTTTTTTCTTTCACAATACCCAGTTTTTCTTCTTCTGTGCCATTGCTCATATTTTTAGTGTGTTTCAAAGGCAATACTGAACGATGCAAAAAGAATTTTTTCTTTAATTCTCAGCACTGTTAAAAAAAAGATTACTTTATATCCCATGTGTTTTTTTAAAAATGTTTATTTTTTATGGCCAGAGTACTGTTTCTTCTAAGTAACACTGAAAGGAATCACCTTTTGCGGCTGAAAACTGTCCTACATAGGTGACTTCTGTTAAAACAGGAGAGTAAAAATACATACGCACATGTGAGCATACCCACACAAATATACATGCATGCACTTTTTCTGCTAGCGCAACTCGTGCCTTAAACGGTAGTGTCTCCAACACAGTATTAAATTAATGAATTTGTTAAAGGTGAAAATAGGTTGCTGAGAAGACTGAACAGATGGAAAACAACTTTGGCACAGAAATTGTATCTATACCGTTTCTTCTCTGTGGAAATTCTTGGTCCTTACTAGTAGTAAAGAATACATTGTTCAGCAGCATCACAAATAACACAGGCTATAGCCCCGCAGTTTGCTCCAGCAGATGCTCGGCTGTCAGCTCAAACAAGCAGGCAGGAGACTGGGTCTTTTCTGACTCTGTTGGGCTGGGGTCCTCAGACAGTGACCTCACTTCTCTGTGCCTGTTTCTTATCCACCTAATGTTCATTTAGAGTGATTCTATTAGGAGCTCTCGAGTACTCACTGCTTCTGGGTAACTGATCTGGAACACAACCATGTTGCTTGCTATCTTTAAAAAAAAAAAACCAAACAAAAAAATCACCTGTGTGTCCTTATATTGCAGTTTTGTGAGTAACAGGGAAATGGAGAGGCTAGATATTAAGAGCTTTTTAAGATTAAAGGAGAATTCCTGAGGGTTTTGGGGGTTGGCATTCTGCAGTGACATGTGTTAATTCTTGACGCCTGGCTACCCTAGAAATGCAGGTGGGATGTCTAGGTACGCTGTAAATGCGACATTCTCAATTCTACCTTCTCATTCCTCTTCACCTGAGCTCCCAAATTGTTTTTGGAAGTCCTTTAAAGGTCTCCATATTGCTGTGACTGGGAGAAATGTAGTCCTCATGAAGTAGTAAATCAGTTTTTGAGCACTGAACTGAAAAATCCTGCATTTATCTTTCTATTAATTTGTAGTGAAATCTTGGTTACTTAAACAGAAGTGGTTTGCGAGTGGTTTTGTGCATTTGCCCTAGCTAGAAGTAGTTGTGATTTCTTTTATGCTGTCTAATATTCTTTTCTGTGTGTTTCTCCAGCCGTGCATCCATGCTCCCGTAACAATGGTGGGTGTTCGCACATCTGCATTGCCAAAGGGGATGGGACTCCAAGATGTTCATGCCCCGAGCACCTTGTGCTTCTACAGAATCTCTTAACATGTGGAGGTGCGTTATGTTTAACAGTACTGCTAAGCAGCTTACATCAAAAAAGATGGGGGTTGAGGTTGCATTCCAGTCCAAAATGTGGATTTACACACAGAGTTTTCCTACACATGGTGTGTTGCATCATGTATTAAATTGACCTTTGATTCTTCTACCAGGTGTTTTCTGCTTCAGTTTTTGGACATATGTGACTTTTCATTGTGAGCAGAGTATTTTTGTTTGACCTTAAAATACTTGCATCTTCTACTGAGATTTTTATAACTGTACGATGTGACAGGTTTGTACTTTAAACAAATGCTTATAAGATGATGTTGCATCAACCCATGATGACCTAGTAGCAGAAATTGTGCATATAATTCCCACAGCGTGATACTGCAGTCTTACAAATTAATTTGGCCTCGTAACATGAAACACTGTACTGTCTATTTATGAAATGTAGGCCAAAGCTCCATTGCAATCTTTTTTAATTAAGGTAGCTCTCCTCTTTCCACATGGTAGACTTTTCCTTTAGACTTCCCTTTCACAATCCCAGGATTTTTAAAAATTGTTACGTTACACTTGCAGAAGGGATTAAAAACAAAACAAAAACCCCTTTTTTTCTGTTTGGGAAGGCATCATATCTTAAATCATTTGGCTCTGTTAGTCCTCTTGACTTCCTTTTATGTATTCATTTTACTGTGGATTTCATTTTCTGGCTGAACTCGGACGTCCCATGGGACAGTCATTTCCATTATAAACTGTTTTCTTTCCCATGACCACAACATGCTATGTGGTTTTAGTTTTGGTGGTTACATCTGCGGGGGGCGGGAATCAATCTACTTATATTTCTTGCTGTACTGTTTTTGCACAACATGGCTAACGAGAGATTCTTATGTCCTACTCCTTTGTTATCTTCAGCTATAAATCTAAAAATTAAGGGGCCTCCATTTCAGTGTCTGTGTTTTTTATTCTAATCCTTCACTAAGCCTGCAACAACTTCTTAACCTATCTTGTCTGCCATAGTAGCAGCCAATAGCCAGTATTTCAAAATAGATTAATAGCTATTTTGGCTGGAGAACATTTGTCCATGTACCCTTATGAATGCTCTTGACCAGTTTCTAAATGCAAGCCTATGCCTGCCAAGTGCAACCATAATGCAACATTAAATGTGGCTCTAAATGCAGTAGTAGTAATCTGTCTGTTGAATTATCTAAACAGCACGCTCATATCAAAATTTAATTCAAGAATGATCTTATTGTGTGTATCTGGCATCATTATCTTACCTACAGCTGTCAGGTCACTGGCTACATTTGTAATTCTCATATTGCTACACCAAATAATCATAAATCAGAAACTTAAAAATCATAAAATTTTCAAAAATCAAATGCATTTGGATTTTTATTTGCATTTTGTTTTTCAGGCTCTTGATTATACTTAAGTCTCATTCTTGAACATACCTCCCTAATGAAGGAAGGACAGCAGCACTTTAACAATGGTTTGCATGTAATTGCAGCTCTAGGATCTGTAACACCACTCGGGAAAAAAATACTCATACAAAAGTCTTGTCATTGGTTACAACTGAGAAGCTTTCCTTATGCTGGGTTCTTTGTGAAGTCCATTCCTGACCTGAATGTTAATAAAAGCTCGTTGGGTTTCCAGAGGAGTGTTACCATCCAGCGTCAGAGCACACCTCCAGCTTGCTCAATATTGTTGTCATAGAACAGGGTATGATGTGGTAGTCTGTTAATCTGTAAAGCATCTACTTAGAGCATTAGCTGGCAACAAGCTGTGGGGACTAGTGACTGCCTCTGTTAACTGATTTAATTACGTCACAGGGATTTGATCCAGCAGCTTTTGAAATCAGTGGAAATGTATCTGTTTGCTGCAGCGGTGTTTTGAGATGGCCCCCTCATTTTGAAGATAACTAACTGCTGCTGATAACAACTGAAGGGCCTATAGGTTGACTGTTTCTTTCATTGATACCAATGGTGAAAAAGTGTGTGTTAATTTGCCGTATATAAGAATTAGGAACATTTTTTGCAATAGAGTCTTGATCTGGATTGTCTTTGTCTTTTGACATTCTGAAGAAAGCAACTATGAATGCCTTATTACAGCATAATTGTTGCATCTCTGCATGAGGTTGTAGCTGCTGCTTAATGCTATCAGTGTGTGATTGCAACATGAGCAACAGTATGGATGTGGAATGGATTCATGCCAGGATCTTGGGGTCCATGAAAAGTCAAATCTGAAGGAAGTCTCAGCTTTCTTAGGTCCAACAAACATAAAAATGGCTGTGTGCAAGGTCCGGTGTTCTGTCTCTGACCATAGTGAAAGAATGTAAGATCAGGTCAGGCCTACAGTGCTCCTCAGACTACTCTCTGAACTTCCACTGACCTGCAGCCCAGAGACTTTCCAGCAAGAGGACTTAGCTTAATGTTTAACAGGTCTTTACAGATATTTCCCCATTCGTGTTTTTCAATTCATATCTGACTCGGAAATTTGTTTGTGGAGAAACCACTGGAAAAATAGAGACACAGATATTGTAGAAGCAGATGTTACATGTTTTAGGTGTATTCATTGCCAATTAACCCAATGTGCCAGGTTTTTTTATGAAGAATTGTTCCAGGCTAATATAATTGCAGGGATTAGAATTGTGTAGAATGTGGTTTGCAATCAGAAATTGAGTATTCATTGAATTTATATGTATGACAGTGACTTCCAAAAAGTTGCTGTTAGAGCCAAAGTCAGTATTTATAGTTCCTGTCCTTAGTTTAGCGCTCGCCTGCTAGAGCAAGCTTCTTCAATCAGCATGCATCCAGTTTTTGTTACGAAGTTGGCAAAATTTCATTCCCTATGCAAAATCATGTTTTCCTCTTTGCTGGAATCTTAATATTGTCACAGAAGAACTTCAGTCCAGGCATAAGTGAGTTTTTCTTGAAGAAATCGTCACGTTTTTACTCTGTTGGAAGGGCTAAAATTGAATATACAAATGCGATTTGTTTTCTCTTTCTCCAGAACCTCCAACTTGTTCCCCAGACCAGTTTACCTGTGCAACTGGAGAGATTGACTGTATCCCAATGGCATGGCGGTGTGATGGATTTCCAGAGTGTGATGACCAGAGTGATGAAGATAGTTGCCCCATATGCTCTGCATCCCAGTTCCAGTGTGAGAAAGGACAATGTATCGATGCACACTTGCGGTGTAATGGAGAAATTGACTGCCAAGATAAATCTGATGAAGCGGATTGTGATAGTAAGATTAATTTTTTTGAACTCATGGTTCTAACATAAGCATCCATTTGAGATTCTAACTGTTCTTGAGATATATATATATGATTTTTAGTTTCAAATGGGGAAAAACAGCCTTAACCATAGCCTAACTAAGCTATCCACTGATTCTCTTTTTCTTTTCCTCTTTCTTATTCTGTTGCTCAAATTAAACTTCTCTGTAGCTACATAAATTGCTGACCATGTAACTATAGATATGGGGGAGGTTGGGGAGAGTATCTTTAACCCATATTCAGAATGAAAACAGGAAAGAAACTGGCAGAACTTACCACGTGGTTTTTTTCCCTGCATAATTACCATTTTGGCTTGCACTGTTTCCATGGTGTCCACTTCACCTTTGGACAGTGGTCACTGCAAGGTGCCACAGGGAGGAAGAGATGGACTTAATACTGTGGCTGAATAGGCTCTTCTGAGAGTTCACTCTTAGCAAGCTGATGTTTATAATCCTGGATGTACCTTTCTATGAGAAATCTATGGAATGACTTGTATGCAGTCAGCCGTAGGATCTGGGTCCAAGTGAGAAGCAGGGATGGGTGCATTTGCATCATCCTTTGGTTGATGGGAAAACTTGCATATTCTGTGTCTAGTATCAAGGCATAGCTGAAACATACATTTGACTATGAGATGGCACCACGGCTTCTTATTACAGTACAAAATTTCAGGAGCCTTTTCAATAGCATGGCTCTTGCCCTGTGAAGCCTCAGAACCCTTGGCTCTACCCACTCAGTGGCTAACCATTGCCACTGGGCCAGCAGGGTAGATCTTTGTGGACATTTCAATGAGCAATTTTGTGGATTTGCAATGTCTTCTGTAACTCTGGACACCATACACCAGCACCTTCTTTGCAAACAAGAAGAGGATCAGCCACGTCCAAGTTCCTGCCTTTCTTGTGGGAGGTGGTACTTACTACCTGTACTGCTTCATCAAGAGGCTCTGCTTTGTCCATCATGGAGCCCATATGCAGTGTAACGGTGCCATTATCCACACACAGAGTCAAAGTGGAATGTGCATTTGGTCATCTCCCTGTGAAATGGTAGGCACTGTTAAGCAAACTTAATGCCAATGTTCCTGGCACTGTATGAGCTGTAGGCAGCTGCCTTGCCCTGCACAGCCCCTTTGAGGGCACAGATGAGTCTTAGCAGCTGGTCTAGAATAGTTGAAGTCATGTTTCTTCAGCGGTTGTATGCCTAGTCCTCTGCAAGCACTTGGGCCACCTGACTAGACTTTGTCCAGGATGCTGTCTGACACTTCCCTAGAAGGGCTACGAATATACTCAGTCCAGGGTTAGACTGAGGGAGATGTGGCAAACGTGGCCTCTGTAGTCCTCAGGAATGTTTACAGGCCAAGGCCTGAGTGGGTTCCTAAGAAAAATAAAACCGATAGGCCTTTCTCATCCCTTAGCGTGTGTCAGCCTATAACCCACTGTGTTTGGGGAAGGGAAGGTGGCATATAGTACATGTTTTTGTTCTTTATATGAGGTTTATTAAGGTGGTGAGGCTAACTGGGCTTAACAGAATTTTTGTACTATACCTCATGCATCAGAGGAATTACCTTCTGGTCAGAGTAGTGGTAATCACTGCCTTTCCATAAGTCTGAGTTCAATGCCTTGATTCTATCAGAGGCTGCTTTCCTGTCCCCTGGTTTCCCAAGGCATGCTTTTGGAGAGTTGAATCTGAAGCATTGACACAGGGGTTGCAGACTATGACTAGAAGTGGCCAAAGAAATGTCCCTGGGTATGTTTGTGGTTCTTGTCTCACATCTTCAAGACCGTGGCTTTCATCTTCTTGAATTTCTTGTGGCACTGCTAGCTGGTCCTCTCATACGCGGTGGAAGTCACAAGGTTAGCAGTCTCTTGATATTGCAGCTGGATTACCATGCCACTGAAGAAGCTTCATCTCCTGTACAACACAGGTTCAGTGCTCCAAGTTGTCTGTTGCTGGATCAGGAAGAAACAAGGAGTCCAACAAGGCAGGACAGCAACAGAAGATACGGCACATAAGAAGGGAAAGGATATTAAGACAGAAATCTTGATGGAAGACAAAGGAGCAGCAGACAGTTGCAAGAATAAGTAGAGGGCTGGCAGTCATTGGCAAATAGGAGGGTGCACACAGAACTTGGCCCTTCTCATAGTGCAAGAACCTAAGTGGTGTGTGAGAGCTCTAGATGCTCTAAAAGAGCCTTCTATCAACATGTGTGTGTTTTGTATGCACTATAGGACCTTGAGGAGCTGCGTCCAACTTACTGGGGGCATAACAGTCCAAATCAGGAGCTGATGCATTTGGAGCTTCTGTCTAAGTTTTTTTCTCCATAGATAGTTTAGTTCTCATACCCGAGAACTGCTCTGCAAACTGGACCATGGCAAAGTAAGTATGGCTATTCAGGAGGTCCACTTCACACCACCACCAGTGCTGTGATCCAAAACATGAATGTGGATCTTCTCCTCCAGAAGAAAAGAACCTTTCTTCTTTTTGCGTTGAATAACTTATACTGTGAACCTTCCAGGATTGCTGGTTACTAGCCCTTGTAAGACAGTCTCTTTATTGATCATTTAATATGCTTTGACTTGATGGAGATTCCAAAGTTAATTAGCAAGTCCTTTTTGCTGAAACAGAGGCTTCTGAATATAGATAAGAAATTTAGCAGTTGTTTAGCAAGGTTATATTATACAGGGCTACATAAGATAGTATAGACTATATAAGGTTTTATAATATGCCAAGTTACTGCATTTTGTTAACATGTCAGGTGATCAGCTACACTTTGTTAGTTATTATAAGAGATTCTTGCTGATTTGATCCCAGTTTTGCCCCAATAGGACTGATTTGACAAGGATGAGGAGTTATTGGGATCAGAATTTTATTTTAGCCCCACTGAGTAGGATGTGTAACAACTAGAAGGAAGAATCAGAGAAATGGAGACTTGCATTTTACCCACAGCAGCAAAGCAGGTGTTCTGGTGACTACCTGGTCATAATATAAAATGCACCATGGCTTCATGTCTCACTTCTTTTGGTTTTCTTAAGACGCCCAAATGCTCCCACGCAAGTAGTACTTAATCTTTTCTTTCTTTCTGTGCAGCAATTTGTCTACCCAATCAGTTCCGATGTGCAAGCGGCCAGTGCATCCTCCTGAAGCAACAGTGTGACTCCTTTCCAGATTGCATTGACGGTTCTGATGAGCTTATGTGTGGTGAGATATCTTTCCTTGAGATTCAAGTGCTGTGTTCAGGCGTAATGTCCTCCATCCCTATGCAGAGCCCCAGCCTTTGCATAGTAATATTCTTTCAGGGAAGGCCAGTGAATCTCGGCCAAATACTCTCACAGTTGTATAGTCATGCTCTTACATTGGTCTGTGCGGCAAAAGCATGTGAGCTTGCAGCATGGTGTAGCAAGTCTGTAATGCTGTTATTTCAGGTAATGCAGGAACGGTAGTAGTGAAGATGAACCGAAATCCCGATGTTACTTCAAGCTAGTTCTAAAATGCTGTATGGGATACAATGCTGCCCTGTTTAGATGGGCCTTCAGATCCATACCCAGGGGGACCTGATTCTACTACGCTCAGTACCTTGGAACTTGCAGAGCTGCTGCTAAGCTTGGGTAGCTTTTAAAAATGTGCAGCCCTATCCACTGCAAATATAGGGTCAAGCTGGAGGCTAATTATGTGGAGGAGCTAGCATGCAATGAGCAAGTGTCCACAAGAGACCACGAGCTGGCCTCTTAAAGTGCAGGTAGGAAAAGAATGTAAGGAGAGACCTTGATTTTTCTGGGCAAAATGTCACTTTGAATTCTCATGGCAGTAGGTACATGCAAGTTACAGGCATGCTGATGGCAGTTGCTGTGTTAGTCCTTAGTGGGGTCTGTTATTTTGCAGGCCGAAGCGGACAGTAAAATTCACTTACTTGTACTCTGCTTGCAATTTCCTTCTTTTTGCAACATCAGGGTGACTAGTGCATGAAGTTTTCAGGCAATGGGGCAAATAAAGGGAGCATTTAGTAGCTCACGAGTGGTTTAGCAAAATAGTTGGAACATAGCATTTTAGAACAAAAGCAAATAGATGTGCTGATCTGTTGGTAATTCATCCTGAACAAATACCTTGTGTTGTGTTTGTGTAGAGAAACGCTGCACGTTGCTTAATAATGTTGCCTATAGGACCTTGACTAATTGCAAGGTTTTTAATATCTTAGAGTCTTGTCAGGTTTTGAAGCACCAGTTTTCAGAAGCTGTGCTACTGCTGGGATGAAGGGGGTCACCAGGTCTGATCAGGGTAACCTTGTTTATTCCATTCATTCTCACGGTGGGTACAGCAAGGAAAAGTGTATTTCATGAGCAAGAGTGGTGAAAGGAGCCCAAGTGGTGAATAGAAGAAAAGGCTAAAAGAACAGCAACAAAAATGGTTTAGCTCCCCTGTTGGAAATTTCAGACTGAATATGTTTCTCATGCTTCTCCCACATCTTCCATTTATCTCTCAGCTCTCACCCAGTTCCCCCAATTCCCTGGATAACATAAAGCCACTTCTTCCTTATTTTAAAATTTATTTTCTTTTTGCACTTGGCAAACTTTTGTGCTGCCAAGTTAATGAAGCCGTTTCCTGTCTGCACTTTGGGTCCAGTCCTGCAATTAGGTCTTAACTGATTTAAATGTGTCTTTATGTAGACTTAAGACTGTCTCCTCTGGAGTCCCTTTGTGGAACAGAGCATTCTGTGGTTTCTTGCTTGACTGAGGGAAAGAACTCAAGTAGGGAATAAAAATGATTGTTACTTTCTAGATAAAGAACATGCATTCAAAAGAAGCTAAGTTTAACCATAATGAGAATTGTATGTTTAAAATTAGCTAATTTGGGAACATGTTTTAATTTTGGCTTTGCTTTTTTCTGGTATCGTATCTGAACTAATCTGACCATTTGAAAGTTAGGGCTTTAGCTGACATAAAAGCTGTCATGCACTAATAAGTGTGAAAAGTAGATAAAGACTTTAAGACAGAAATGAATGCTTGATGCTGAGCTGTTAAAGAGTTTATTGGTAGATCTTTCTATTTCGTTTATCTTCCCTCTCAAATTTCAGTTGTTTTTCATTCCCTTCCACTGAAGGGAATGAAACCAGAACCACTGGAGAAAAATTTTATGAAGTGAAGGCTTGAATCTTACATGAACCATTTCACTTCTTACAACTTCATTAAGGGGGGATGGGGCATATAGTTTGATCTGAACATGTAAAATTGATAGGCTTTGGCCAAGTTTATTTTGATTTTTTCACTTTATGAATGTATATATTTGTGTATATAAAAAAATGAAAAATGTGTGAATCACATGGAAAAAATCATTTTCACTGAAGAATGTCACATATGCAAAAAACATAGAGGTGTCAGGTTTATTTGGCAAGAATTTTGAATGTGTTACCCATAATCGGGGAGATATGATAGGTAGCTCATCTCAAATGCTGCAGCACTTTTTATTATTTAACATCGGGCTATATAGGGGAAAAAGAAATAAGAAGTAGAAAGTATTTGAGATATTCTGGATTGTGTTTTCCTTCCAATTTGTCAGGTTTTTTTTAGAAAGCAAGTCATATTTTAGGAAGGAAAAGTATTCTATTTTAAGGCCTATATTAGCTAGGAAGACATCTACTACTTAATACATATGGTAGCTTCCCTACTGATAAAGTCTTATAATTTTTTAATGTTATTGCTAGCCCAAATGGTTTTTGAGAGAGCAGATTCCTCTCTGATTAAGGACTTCATGTTTACAAGTGTCTTATATCCTTAACCCGTAGACTTTGGGGGGGGGAAGAAAAGGAAACTTTATAGGCTGTTGTTATATCAAAATGATAAGTAATCCTGTTACGAGATTAATTGCTAAACAGAGAGGAGAGTACCTTGCTAATACTGCTTTATGTACATGAAGGGGAGGAGGAGGCATGAAGTCTTGTGCATTGGATCAGAGTATATGGAGTTATAGATGCCTGAGTTTGATGTAGATACTTTAAAAGATACTGTGTGAATGACTGTGTGCTGACTGATTTGCTGCATGAGCTCCAGGACAGCAACATATATATTGCCCCATGTTTAATGACCTTTTTTTTTTCTCCTCTCTTTCCAGAGAAAACAAAGCCAGCCTCAGATGAGTCACAGCCACACAGTAGTGCCATCGGTCCTGTCATTGGTATAATACTGTCACTTTTTGTCATGGGAGGAATGTACTTTGTTTGCCAGCGAGTGGTGTGTCAGCGCTACGCTGGGCCCAATAGCCCTTTTCCACATGAGTATGTCAGTGGCACCCCTCACGTCCCTCTTAATTTTATTGCTCCAGGAAGTTCTCAACATGGCACTTTTACTGGTAAGGGTGGTAAGGACCTTGCATCTAATCAGTACCATTACATTGTCTGCATTTGGAGTTTTACAGGTTATTAAGAGTGCTAGATGCGGAGTTTTCAAAGAGCAGAAATTAGATGATGTTGATTTGCTCAGTGGTTTTGGTATAAATCTGTCATTTGGATCAGATATGCAAAAACTATTAGATGCATTTCCTTAGGCATCTTGCCAGATTTTCAAATGCAATTTTCGTGCTAGGCTGCACCTGCAAAGGTATCTATCTTTTTGATAGAAAATCTACAGTATTTTGCCAGTGAAAACATCCTCTTTAAATAGTTCATTCTGGTGTATGCCTGAGTTTTGCATAGTACTTCCTACCTAAGGCCTGCAAAATACTATGAAGAGTAGTGAACCACGTGCAATATTGGAAAATAAGAATGTATGTGCCATTCAGCGTTCTAGTGAGAGCTCTGTTGAGTTGTTCTTTGTGTCCCTACTCAGATGTCCTTGTTTCTGTCCTGTCCAGCAAAGGTCTTTACATAGTTTTGTCCTGTCTGCTCAGGATGGGTAAGTTATTCCACAGTGGAAAGAAGCAGAGGAAAGAAGTGAAGCAGCTTAGTTTACTATGATACAAAATAGCAGGGGATAAACCTCCCTCACCAAAGTTGCAAACGTGGAAGAACACAAGCAGTCTGGGTGTGGCTTTGTAGTCTGACTGCTCATTGCCTGAAGTGGAATGAAAACATCCCCTTTGGTTTAGCCCATCTCTGAGACAGCTTTTCTTTTTGCTTTTGGACAAAGTATTTATTCTCTCTGTGTCTCAGTCCTTCATCTGTAAAACAGCAAAGGTTCTCTACCTCGCAAAGGACTCAAAGCATCCATTCGGAGAATTGCATGTAGCTACGATGCTGAGATTGAAGGAGGACTTGAAGTATACATAAAAGCTCAGGATATTCAGCTAATAGATAAGAACCCAGAAACCTCATATAGACATCAAAGTAAACACTTAAATGATGTACCTCAAATTATTTTACAAATGTAAAATATACTTTTCATAGAGGAAATAGCAAATTCTTAACTACAAAGCCCTGAGAAGAAAGAATATCTCTTCATATTGTTCAGGAAGCTGGAAAGTAAATGTTCGCCTGTAAACCTGCCAGACAGGGTCAGAATACAAGAAATTCATACTTTGGAGTGCTTGGAGTCTGCTTTTCATGTCAGCTGAAAATCAGATAGATGATAAACTTAAAGACAAATGAAAAGATGTGGCACTTCTTCATATTTAACAAGTTGTGAGATGTGCTAATTGTTGTTTTCTTCTAGCCATGGCTTTGAAGATAGCCGGATACAACTTCGATTTAGCCTTTCTCACACTTTAATGACTGTGGTCAGCTGTTCCTGCTTAAATTATGTTTTTATGGTTATCAAGAGGTTTTTGTGGTAGGAAATAAAATTTGAGGATGAAAACATTGCAGGTGAAATCTTTGCAGTGGTGTTTTAAATTTGACTTCACACTAAAGCTTTTTTAATTAAAGCAAGTATCAGTGGTTTTCGTCTGTACCTCTGTAGGTGCTAAACTAAGCTGTCATTCTGATTCTCATTCTATTTGTTAGTTTTTTCTAATTCATATTGCTGTGACAAGTTGCAACAGCTGAAAATACTACCATTGATGTTAATTCTAAAGAAGAGACATAGGTTCCTAATACTATGGCATTTCCAAAAATGATAAATAGTCATGAATGATGATCACAAATAGAGTCACTCTGCTTGTAATAAATATTTCCTGCATCTGAAAATTTCTGAAAACTTCCCAAACTAAACTCTCCCATTAGCACTGAATAGTCTGACAGGAAGAAGCTGAAAATGTATTGTCTGGTGTAAGTGTATATTGGAGTAAAACAGATTGGAGAGTGTTGTCTTCCCTTTTCCTGTCACCCAGGTTTCCTTCCTTTTGCCTCTGCTGATTTTCAGTTTAAGCAGTGATTTTTTTCAATAAAAATAATTATTTTTTGCTGTTGTTCCTGTACTTGGAATTTAATTTCTTTGGATGGAAATGAAAACTTTGGAGGTCTCTAGCTTGTTTTGCTTGGGCAATGTATAATGCTTTTTTTGCAAATGCCTGAGTTTGTTTAATTGGAAAATTTCTTAGTTAATGATTTGGGTGAAAAGTTTGGATCAACTGTTCGGAAGATTCCTTTCTCAACAGAATGTGAGAGCAGGTTGTGAGGAGTTCAGTGCTGCAGTGAGACAATAGGTGGTCTGGGGGTGAGATGTTTTCTTTACAAAATATGTTGTTCCTTGTAATCATGAAGTTTTTACATAAAACACTGTTCCCAAAGTGACAACCAGTAGCATTGCACAGGTTTGCCAAGCTGTGGATTTGTTTTCTGTTTTGCATTGGTAGATAAAATTGTGGTTTACCTAACCTTGTTTTCCTCTCTGTCTCACTGCAGGCATCTCTTGTGGCAAGTCCATGATTAGCTCCATGAGTCTCATGGGAGGAAGCAGTGGTGCCCCCTTATATGACAGAAACCATGTTACTGGAGCCTCTTCGAGTAGCTCATCCAGCACTAAAGCCACTTTCTACCCACAGGTAAGTCTTGAAAATATACCTGTGAGTTAGATATCTCCCACTTCTGAAGAAAAGGCAGATGAAAATTTGTGCTACTAAATAGAATGTTAGTAACGGTTGTTCTTGGATGTTACTGTTTATGATATACAGGCCCACCCTGAGACACACTGAACTTCACAAGATGTTTTGTTATTAGAGTGATACTCAGCTGGGTTGTTCCTGGGCACTTCTGTTCTTCTGTCTTGACTCCCTTGGAGATGCCACCTCCTTTGTTCTTTGTAAACTCTGATGTCAGTGGCCCAATGACATTTTGCACTGCATAATGCTGCAGGCACACATGGAATAAAAAGACAAACAAGACACTACAGGACTGGAATGCAAATGCATAAGAAATAAGCTTGGCTTGCTGTTTAGATAAAGTGTTGCTTGTTGATTGAGAAAAAAAGTGCGTGCACTGGGAGAAAACACTGGTACCAGCAGAAGTTACTTTGCTTGGGTGTTTTCAGCTGTAATTTAGCTCCATTTCTGGCTTTTAACTGTTGGAAGTGACAGAATTTTAGTTACCATGTCAGAGTTTCACAAATTCAAAGATGTATAGTATGAATGGAAATGATTCTCTAAGAATATATAGGACAGACATACAAAGATTACTGTTTGCCAGCATTTTGTCATATGACAGTTTTTTTCCTTAGTGCTTCTGAGCAATACATACATTCACTCTTCTGTTCACACAAGCTTGCAGAGTCAATCTGCTAGCTATTGAGGTGATTTTTCAGTTGTATTTAATCAGGAGCCCACATACTGTGTGGGTATATGTGCATTTGTGTTTACATGTAAACTGTTATGCTATGTATGGGCATTTTGATTGATAGTGTTTTGATCAGTGGCAAATGTGCTCTCTCTCCCCTTCAAGAAGGACAGAGATGGAAAAGAGAGGCTTGTGAGCTTATCTATTGATAAGGTAAAATTGGTTACTTATTTCTCGCATTACCTTCTCAACAAAGCCATCAAGAAGCTAGTCACAGCTAGCAGATGTTTGGAACTTGGCAGCCCTCCTAATTTAGCTTGTCTAATGCTTCACCAGTGTCTCTGTAACATGCTGAACAATTTCATGCTAGTACCTGATTGATATGTCAGTGCCACACTAAAAAGGATGAACAGAAAAAACTTAGCTGAATTTATATAAAAAAAACCGTACTTAAATAAATCTTGGAAGGAAAGAAGCCCAAGAGCTGATCTGCCTGTGCCATTTTATGGGATCTGCATTGGCCAAAAGATCAGCTCTTCCATTGGACTTCTGGCCTAAGCTAATCTGACTGTTACTGGGAATTATTCTTCTACCCTTTTCACTCCGGGCTATGTCAGCCAGGGCCTGCAGGGATGATATCAGCCTTTCCTTCAGGAAAGGCATGCTGGATTCTTAGAAGGAAGCTGTTGCAAGGGCTTTGTTACATTAAAGTTGCTGCTTAATCCAGATATTTTGGTCGGTTCTACCGGGTAGCTAATTACCCAGCTTTAGGTTAATAATAAAAAGGAGAGATCTGAGCATCTAGTTGTCTTGGCTTTTTTGTTGTGTTTTGTGTAACAGTCTTATGGTACTGTGAGATGGTCCAGTGAATAGAGACTAGGAAAGAATTTATGTCAATTGAGTTATGCCAGTTTATATACCTGAGAACCTGGCCACAGGCTTCCTGGCTGACACTCTGCTGTATTTAATCTGAACATGAAGTGGTGGTGATGCGGCTCAGGGTGCTAGTAGGAGAGAATCCAGAAGTAGCATGCAGTGCTCCTCCAAGGAAGTGGGTTTCTGGAAGATATTCTTGGGGCAATTACTCATCATTCTGCACAGCTGGCAATGGGTGGTATTCAAGCTTGTCTCCCCTCATATGAATCTGGTTGCAGGGCTTGTCAGTATTAGTAACGTGAGCTCAACTCAATGACCAGGAATCACTTTGCTGGATGCTGCACCAAAACAATGATCTCCACTCCAGTGATTTTACAGTATTATTACGAGAGAAGAGCAGAGACAAGAGCAGAGAGAAGAGCAGAGGCAGAGGCAGGATGCTATCATGGTCACTGTGGCAGGCCATGGCTTGGCAGAATGTCCAGGACAGGCTGTGTACAAGATGCTCACATCAGTAGCAAGGCCCTACCATCAACAGCAATGCTGTAATTTTCCACATTGGAAGGGATGAAGCGCTCTACTTGTTTTTAGGCCAATGTCCTAAATGCTGGCTGTGTCAGGGGTTCTGCTTCCTGCTAGGGGAAGAATCCTAAAGGATTCTGAAGCATAATAAACTGTTTTCCTAGTGTGAGGGTTACCAGCAACCGTGTATATGCACACAAAGGCTAGGGCAGGCTATAACTATTTTTTAACTCTTAGGCTCTTGCATTGTGAACTGTGCCAAAATAACATGTTTACGGAACGACAGTAAAAAGAAGTATTCAGGGAAGGATGGAGTTGTATTAGTTATAGTAAAGGAACTTGGCTTCCTGACCCTACTATTGACTGGGGGTATGTTCAGGGGCTGGGAGTGGAACAGACTTTATTTTCACATGAGCATCTGCTGAGGATGATATCAGTCTTTATGTCCAAGGAAGTGCACTGAGATTCAGCAAAACTGGGTCTAATTTCCAGCTGTACTCCAGCCTTCCAGCATAATAACGGATGTGCAAGGAAGAAAATTCCCTGTACTGTGAGAAATTTGAAGGCCTGCAGTATATCTAAGCCCAGAGTAAAGTCTCGTAATGAACTTCTGTGATCTTTAAAAAATGCATTAACCCACCCAAGCAGCAAGGAGAGGAAACTAAACTAAAGATGAGTGACAGGGTGAAGGCTTAAATAATATTTTCAAAATAAGTAGAGTTGTATAATTAACCCAAACTTTCTCCCTGCTTTTTCCTATTCTTCCTAGATCTTGAACCCACCTCCTTCCCCAGCTACTGATCGCTCCCTGTATAATGCAGAGATGTTTTATTCCTCAAACATTCCTTCAACCACAAGATCTTACAGGTACAGCTCAGATAAAAAGGTTTGATAAATCTTCTATTGATCTGTCCTTTAGTTTTGGATCTTAAGCAAAATGTTCTTGTTCAGACTTCACCTTGTTTAAAAAAACCTTTCCCTCTCTTAATAAATGACCATTCAAATGGAGATTATGCCAGTTTTGATGTTAAACATTGGCTTTGTATTCTTATTTTGACACAACAGAGTTTAGCGCCTTTCAATACAGTGTTGCTGAGTAATAATGCAATATATATAGGTTATATTGCTATGTAACAGTCACTTAGCATCCTGTATAGAGAAGGTTGGTGTTTTCTGTTCAGTTCCTCAAGCTTATCTTAAAACTCTTTGATAAATCAACCTATTTGTTAGTGACTGGGCTAAATTGTCATGGTGGTCTCCTCTGGCTGGTCAGGGGCTGGAAGAATGCACTACTGGCTGAGGGTAGTTGTGCCATTCAAATTTAACACAGTTCAGGTACTTCTTGTTGGGTTCCTATGAAAACCTGAATTAAGGCTCACATAGTACTAATGAGCAGGCGTCTTGACTGAGGACACAGAGCTGTTCATTTTCAATCCCTTTCTTTCTTTTTCTTTCTTTTTTCCCCAGATTGCAACTACTGCATATACTTTTTTTTTTTTTTTTTTGCAGGCCATACCTTATACGAGGGATAGCTCCACCCACAACGCCCTGCAGCACAGATGTTTGTGACAGTGACTATACTACTAGTCGATGGAAGGCCAACAAATACTATATAGATTTAAATTCAGACTCGGACCCTTATCCCCCTCCACCCACACCTCGCAGTCAGTACATGTCGGCAGAAGAAAGTTGCCCTCCATCTCCTGCCACGGAACGAAGCTATTTTCACCTCTATCCCCCTCCACCCTCTCCTTGTACAGACTCCTCATGACCTCAACAGAAGGAACTTTTCCTGTAAATATTTTAAAATATGAACAGATTTAAAATATATATTTTATGATTTAAAAATAAATCGGGGTGGGAATTAAGAAATGTGAATAAAAATGGGTGGGAGGGATGGGGCTGTGAAAAATTGTACAGAGGAAGAATATTTATAAAATTGATTTTTTTAACTTAATTTCCAATCTTTTGTGCCATATTTGCCTTTTTGAAGTCATGAAAATGACTCAATCTCCAAAGGATTTGGGGAGGGAATGTTGAGCCTTTTTGCATTTTTAAGTCACCTTTTTACTTACTAATGTGAGACGAGAAAGTGAAGTGGCTTGTGGGAGGATGAGTCTAAAGAAAGATGTAAGTTTATTCGCAGAGAAGAAAAACACATTTAAATAAAACTGTCAGTATCTCATCCCTTCACCACCACTGGGAGAAAACATGCAAAGATCACAACCCTCATGCTACTGTTTGCAAGTGAGCTGAATGCTTCCCAGCAGAACTCGTATGCTGAGACCTAGATTTCAAACCTCGCTCTCCATTTGCTTAGCATTGAACTGGAAGAACACTTCTTTTGGCCAAACCTTCCAGCTTAACTAGGCCCGCAGGCATCATGGCCTACCTCATGTCAGTGCCACTCTGCACATGGCCAATTCTGGAACTGATTCAAGCTAAAAAAGATAACCAGCCCTAAAAAATGTGGTTTAGCTCCAATCAGTTCCCCACTTGACTGGGTGAATGGTAGCAGAAGCAGTTGTATTGACCTGTGGGTAAGAGCAAGAGGCAAGTTTAAAGTGGTATTTAAGCTAAGAGAAATGCCTGACAAGCTGCAGATTTGGTCAGACTCGCCATTTTAATTGTGATGAAATCAAGCTCCTTCATCCTTCCTTGTGAGGCTTTGATGACTGTCTGGGAAGAAGCTGTAATATTCAGCTGCTTTTCAAAATACAACGCTAGTTCTCTTTTTCCCAAAAGTCCAGTAATTCACTGTGCCAGTTCTCTGTGTTGACTTGATCAGAGAATTGCTTCATCTCTAATGTTCATTTTCCAAAGTGGAATGATATGGTCACTTGTATTCATTTAAATAAGGAAAGTTGTTTGTTTTTTAATAGGTCTTTCCAGAAAAGGGTATCTGCGTAGCTCAAAACAGAAACATCTGCCATTCAAACAGTTTAGTTGTATCGCATAAAAATTTGCCAGAAAATTAGATCAGGTTTAGAAATAGACAGAAAAAGCACAGGGGAGGAAGGAGAGGAGACAAATACTTCTTTCTAATTGTGTTGAAATGAAAAAGATACACTCTCATACAAACTGCTGTAACCTAAGGACATCATGATCAGCAAAGTGCTCATGTTCGAAACTCTTACAAAAAAAACCCCTTTGGGAATGGGGGGCTAGGATCAGTCCCTTTCAAAATACAGAAGATAAATTTTTGCTTTGATTGCTCTCTTGCTGTAACAAAAGGGATTGGGTATTGTATGGCACTTTATAAATTCAGCTCTGGTGATGATAATGTGAGTGCCTACATGGGACATCTGAGGGAAGTTCTGAATATGCAGACTCGCACCTGTTTCTGCAGCTGCTGAATAACAGATGTGTTGGGCCTTTGACAGCTTTAATATTGTTGGCAACAATGAAAACTTTTTTCTTGTTTGAACTTAAATCGTACTTAGTTTGGGGTCTTTTTAGCAAAGTTATTTGAGAGCACATCAGAGGAACCCTACAACTCTGGGACAGAGGTCTTTGTTGTGGTGGTGGAGGGGCTGGGATCACAGTGTTCTGATCCAGTTTGTGTTTTCAGATTTATTAGTCCAGATCTGTTCTTCCTGTCTACATTTTTCAAGGATAGGATTTGTGCTGTCACACAAATGTCTAAATTTCATTTGAGAGATTAAGCACAAAGAAGATGCCCACCATTTTTCATGGAGAAAAATACAGAATTGGAGAATACAGCACTGGAGTTTAAGAACGGGTTCTTTCCCCATCCCCTATCAACATTAGTAATTCTGTAGTATGCCAAGAGGGACAAGGTCATAGTTTGTTTCTCTTAGAGTGACTTCGCAGATCTCTGAACAAGTGTTAATGATTTGGTGAAACAAAGCAATTCTCATGTGATCATGTTTCAGTGAACTAAACTAGGAATATAGATCCACAGGATATTTTATGTACCACATCGGTCTTATAAAGGAGTGCTTGTTCTGCATTACAGCAGTTGGTAGTCCAACTTCATATCATATGTAATCTTGTGTGTGATAACTATTCACCATTTATAATGAATTCATTAGTTTAGTTGTTTCGTGTTAACAGTTCTAGCTTAGACACATACTACATTAATTTTCCTGTATTCCTGTGATGACACTGGATGCAAAATTACATTGATTTCCCCCCCCATTAAACCACTTTTTAAAGAGCCACAACTATAACAATCCTAACCACTTCATCTGAAGACTTGTATCCTATTACAAAGTTTGGAGTTGAGTCCAAGAAAATTAGCATTCTTGCTGAGAGCTAAACTGTCTTAACAGTCAAATTCTTTTGGAGCTTAGGTATTCAGAAGGAAGGAAACACTTGCTGAATGGGGTGAATTAAGCGTGTACATTTTTATTTCAGTTGGACATTCATAGCTTCTTGCTGCTAATGTTTGCTGAGAAATTGCCTCCTTTGAAGCACTTGAAGTTTGGTGATTGGAATCTAAGCCCCACAGTGCTCCATAATACTGACTTTAAAAGCCTCTTCTAAAAAGAATTTGTATACAAATTTAGCATCTTAACATTTAAATACTAAATATTATTTTTGATTGCTGTAGACTATATACTTTAAAAGGATTACTGCACTCTAGTGCTAGAAAAGACCAGAAAGAAAATTTGAGTGACAGGAGCTACTTCTCTCCAGAAATATCTTGTGCGCTCTTAGTGGTTTCCATCCTGTGAACTTTCAGGTTAAAACATAGAAAATAGGTGCTATGTTCTTCTAGATCAGGATGAGAGAAAGAGTTGCAGGGAATTAGTGAATGCATATGACAAGCTGTGGCAGTTCAGGGCTGAATAGGAAATAAGTGGGGGAAAGTTGTATTTTGGTAGGGTTTAGGCATAGTTTTAATAGTGCAAAAGTTTTCTATGAGAAAGCTGACTGAAATATTGTAAGAGTTCTCCCCTGAGAGCCTGCAGGGGGATGTTTGTGATTGGACTACCTGTATGAGCTTGTGAGTACTTGAATCAGTGTTTTCAACCACTATTTTCCAAGCCCATTATGACTGCATATTAGCACTTGAAACAGCTCAGGGTGAATATAAAACTGTGTCTCGAGAGCAGCTAGTAATGGGCAAATGAAATGATTGATTCTGTGTTACACTTAAAGGATAGATGTCCTAGCAGAGAGCAGCTTACCTGCCTTCCAGTGCAATCATGAAAGCAGCTACTCGGCTCTTCTTCTCTTTTGTAGAATTTGTCCTATCTGCAGGACAGATGTAGCAGCAGTGTGAAGCTGTAAGGCAAATGGACAAGTTGTGATCTTCTACAGTGAGGTATTCTTTTATTTCAACCAAAAGTTTTGTGTAAATTATAGCTTGACTTTACTTCTGCTAGACTGGTCAACAGCCACCGCACCCTGAAATTTGCAATGGAGGTAATTAATTTGTTCATTATTGCTGGGTGATTTTGAGGAAACTTCGTTAGCACTATCCCAACTGTCTTACTGGTTCGGTTTTCTTCTGTCTGGACAGATCGCTAAAGAGCACTTAGGCTAAGATTAAGCTAAATCTGTATGTATGACAAATAATGTTTTCTTTACGATAGTGTCATAGTACAACATGCCCCCTGTCTAAAAATGAGACTGTGCCATTATCAGCATGTTCTAAAGAGGAAGGCAGAAATTAGTTTCTTCTTTTGGAATAATGGGTTTGATTTTCAATAATAAACCTTGATCTCTCTGGTTTGCAAAGGGTGCAAGCACTTCTCTAAAAGTTCTGATTCTTTTCAAAGTAACAACAAAATGGTCTCTTCCCTCAACGCCTGTTCTACACACCGAGGTTGGGCCTTCTGGAAATCTCCAGGCCCATTTATCCTAGGTCTATTTTCCATCTGATATCTAGAAGGTCATATGCTAGATCTAGGGCTCGTCATGTTCTCCCCATTTTTATGCCAACTGATGCCTCTTGGATTCTGGGGCTTTTGAAATCCTGAAGCTCTGTGCACAGCAGTGAAAAAGGATTTGGAAGCAGGAGCACTCAGTAAGGGCTGGTCACACTGGGCTGATGTGCCAATGACAAGGACATTCCTCTATTGCCTGCAGGGTCAGATCCCTTTGCTAGGGAGAGCTCCTGTGCTACCCTTCATCAGAGCCTCTGGAGCAGGTTGTACTACGTTATGAGTGTGGTCAGTCAAACTTCACAGAAGTTGTGTATCCTGTTTGCTTCAAGCATTTTCGGAAGTAGATCTTTTCTGATGTTAGTCATTTTGTCGGGGTATATGTTGAGTCAATCCAAATGAGTAGCTGTGCTTATAATTGTACTACAAGTGATATCCATTAATGTCAGGAAATGAAAACAGAAGGGAAGCATGTTCCCAATAATTAATAACACACAAGAGTGCCTGGCATGGAGCCTTGAATTAGAAGTAACATATTTGCTGTTACAGTACTGAAGGACATTTTATAAAGGTCCATGTTTGGACAGAGCCTTAGACAAGCCACAGTCAAAGATGATAGTCATTTACAGATCAGTTATTTGGTTGTTTCTATGTTTGTATTATGACTCCATTATGAATTATGAGTGCAGTCCTCACCGTAAATTTGGCTCATCTGTAGAAGTTTCAGGGAAGGCTGAATCCTAAATTCTGAGAGGTGTCTGCTGGTTCTGCTGCTGTTCCCTTAGGTATTGCAACACTTTCTGTTCATCATTAAATGTAAAAACCCCTTTCTTCAGCTATTATAAGTTAGCTAAACAGCTTAAGGTATTTACCACATGTTAAAAGAAATATTAATGTACATAGATATTTTCAATCCTGTCATGTCTTCTAGTTCTCATTCCTGAGAACACTCTAGTTTTTGTAAAGGATATTTTTTAATTTGTTTATTTTGAGGTTCACCAACTATGCTGTGAGCCTTTTCACATAAGATCCTAGTCCTTGGAAGGAAAAAAGGAAAAATTGGTTATAAATAAATGTTAAGCCTGCTGATAGGAATGATGGA